AAATGCCTACTGCAACAATACCGAGCATCCGTGATGGAGATACTCTGTGGCACCGACAGAATGCCATCCCGTCCTCCGGAGCGGTCAGCTTTCTTGAAGGTGAAGTGAGCGGGCAGCGAGTGTTTTCTTTTACTGTTGCTTCATGCCTATTCAGCTGGCTTTCTCAGCCTCTGGCCTGTCATTGCTGCAGGTGAAGCAATCACAGAGAAAATCTTGGGCTATAGGATGCTCAGAGCCTGCAGGGAACTGTAGGCACAAGTGGTGGTTCTTTCTGAGTGAGTTTGGGCCAAGATTATATATATATATATTTTTTTTTTTTTTCTCTCCTGGAAATTCATCTTCTAAACTGAATAGAAGATAGTGTGCCTCCTGCAAGGCCTGTTCAATGGCTGTGTGGAGTGATAGGGCTTTTCAACCAAAGTTGTGAGATTGTTACGTTTTAGTCAACTTTCTTTCCCTTGCAGATGTTCTTAGCAGAACGTGCAGCTAATTTGAACTAAAGCATTAAAGTTAGAAAGGAATGTGGAACAGAAAATGTGTATTCATACAGTTGAGAGAATATTAAGAAACTGAAAATAGGGTCTCAAAGCTGTGCGGTCACCGCAATAATAGACATCATTATTAGCAATTCTTACAAATATGCAGAGCAAAGTTTGTTTTACTTTATTAATAATTAAAACAGCTTCCAGCCTCACCGGCCAAGATGTAGTAACGCACCATGTGAATCACAGAAATTCATGTGCATTTTTCCAGGAATGTAATTTGAATTTAATGCCAAAATAAAGCATCAAAATGAGTGATTTTTCAAATCTTTGGATAATATTTAGTCAATTGTTAGTGCTTCTTATGACTGTTACAGAAATGGGATTGAAGTTTGTGGACTCTTCTGATTGAAATCATGGCAGATTTAGTTCTATTTCCTAGGTGAGAAAGCCTGAGGTGCAAGGGCAGATGAGAAGGACTTTTACAAGATAAAAATTATCATTGAGGGCATGTGGGTCTGGAGGGGAGCAGAGCTGGCATTTTTGGCCCAGCAAATATCTGCCCATCTGCTCTCTGTCAGAATATGTTAGAAGTGCATCTGGACCCGTGCCCCAGAGTTGCAGCTCCGAGCGGGTCGTGTGCTTGTCTCCACGACAACTCAGGGAACTGTGTAAACTGCTGCGCTCTGAGCCAGATGCTTCTCTGCACATGTGGTCTAATTAGATGGCATTTCCCCCCCTCGCAAAAGAGTTCAGAAATTTTGCATGGTTTCCATGTCAAAAATGTGTAGCTGAGATAATGGGAGTTGGGAGGAGTCATGCGGCCAAACGCTAAATGATTACACTTGCTGCAAAGCTCGGCTTCAGTGTCTGTGAGCCGTAGATTTGCCGGAATGCAGAACAAATTCCCTTCGGTTGCTTCATCATGGATTGAGTAAAACCTGTGGGGGAAGTGGTGAAAGGAAAAATCTGCTCTATTTTTTTTCGTCCTCATGCTGGATGCAACTTTCTCTCTATGAATATACCAGGAAAGAATTGGGGGACTGAGACTGATTACATACTGTGAAATAAATGCTTGCAAGACACAGCATTCTCAGTCTCTCAGAGGCGGGATTTTTTTTTTTTTTTTAAATAAAAACTGCAAGAAGTGCAGTGTTGTAGAGGAGAGCCTGGGGGGAAAATAAATCAAATGTAACTTATAAAAAATGATACATGCTAATGTGGCGGGATCCTCAGCTACTGTGAGGTGGGGGAAAGGGTTTAATTTGGTGCCAGTGATCGAGGAGCTCTGTTAAAAGTAATTGAAAAGTAGCACAGTTTTTGTGATTGTACTAATGGGACTTTTTGTGTGTCTTACCTTCTCATGTGGTAAAATCTGAGCCTCTTTCTGATAAACGAAGAATGAATGAACAGTGAAGGGAGAATGAAGAATTCTTGCTTATTTTAAAAGGGAAATGCTTTACTGTGCTTTTTTCCACCTGAGAGGAGAAGCATTTTGAGCAGTTGTGGGCTTGATTTCTTAGTTCTTTTCCAAAAGTTGTTTGGGCAGACGTACAATATAAATATACTAATGCTCTGTAACGAGCAGCATAGAGGCAAGTGTCTTTGGTATGGCAAGGTCCAGTTGCTCCCAGGAATGGATGCTGTTGCATCTTCAAGAGTCTAGTGACCTAAATTATTGATTTATAATCTCACATGTGTGATAAATAACCATAGCAAGCATATGTGTGTATGCATTTATATAGTAATCATTGACCACTTAGGTTTCCCCAGAGACCGTTACGTGACTTGAACAGAAAGGAATGAAACCTTTTTCCAGTGTTCCTAACCCAGTGCCTTTGATTATCTCTCTCGGGCGACATGATAAATTCCTTCTCTAAAGTGACTTCTTTTCTAGCTGTGTTTTTTCATGGCAATAGTTGAGGCTTCCACACCAAATTATCAAGTGGCATAACATGATGACAAATCAAACCTCAGTGAGTTCTGTTATAGTAGTAGCACTTACTTTGCCAGAATATTGTATGAAGGAGGTGGCATTGCACGTCATGTTATCTCGTATCTTGTGCATTAGTGTATCTGCCAGAGACTACATGTCTCTAACTCAGTGAAAATTTCGAGTTTAGTTCTATTATATCGATTTTATTTATAGACATGGGGGGTTTGTTGCTTGGCTAAGAGAGTGGGATTTTATGACCTATCTTTATGACTAAAGCTTCTCTCACATTGCTTTGGTTAAGTTAGAAACAGTTTATTCTCCTTCTGCATCTATATTAGCACCTAAATATTGTATTAAAATATTTCAATCTTGAAAACAACTGTTTTATTCAGTGTTGGTTTGGGCATCATGATACAAAGGAGTCCTATACGTCTTGCACAAAACCATATTTTCAACATATTTACTTGGGTGAATCCTGGAAGCTTCATTGTTTTGGATGCGTTTGGCTTTTTACGTGTATCTAAGAAATCAAAAGAAAGCAAAATATTAACATTTGTGACCCTTAGGCATATTGGTCATTTCTAAATCTTGGCCAATCATTTACTGGTTTTGCGGAGTTTGGTTGTTTTTTTTTCCTATTTTAACAAAATATTCTGTATTCTGTTGAGTTTTAATAAAGGCAACAAACAACCAAAAATCTTGTCATTTGTCTCATAGGAAATACTTTGTGTAGATTGTGTTTCCAAGCACACTTTTGTTATTTTGTCGTAGTATAAAATAACTCATATAAAGAATTACACTGTGATTTTTCTCCTTTTTTGTATTGTCACTAATGCTCCACAATAGTTAAAATAGAGAAAGGTCTTTTTATTATAGGGAACCTGAATTGGTAGCTGCTTTGCATGCAGAACATACTAGCTTCAATGGGAGTATTGCTCATGGAATGATTGCAGAACTAGGCCCTGAAATTACCTTGCCAGCTAATGATAAAATCACATGCAGGCCAC